TAAACATCAGGAATCCATTTTCCCCTCAGAGAACTTCTGCCTCATACTCCAAACTACAACTCAATTTACCATGACGTCATCTCCTCATCATAGCTTATTTTATTTCCTGCAAACATTGTTTTTCTTCAAAGCTCACAGCGTGTTTAACTCCTGAGTACAGAAGGAGTCACGCACAGAAGTGACTCAGACAAGCAGAAAATCTGATGTTTGGCAGCTGGTTTAGGTTCTGTTTGAAACACAGAGCAGCTTTATCCGTACATTCGTGTGTCATCTGACACTAACCATTAGGCAGCACTCTTTTGGCACTTAGATGTTTTTTTTTTTAAATCCCTAACGGACAAACGCACAGCGAGAAAAGTAGAAGATCTGTTCCCATGGAAACACACGCCAATACATCTCAGCTAATAGGGAAGAGAAGCAGCCAGGCCTCACTGATTACACACAGAACTCGGCTGTAATTACGTTCTGTGTCCACCTTCAACTGAGATGAAGACGTGTGGAAACACTCATCAGAGCGGCAGGAACAATCAGACAGCTCCTTCTCTGGACGTTTGCTGTCCTCCGTCTGATTGGCTGAGCAGAGGAGCTGTTTTTATTCAACCTCAGACTGTGAATGAAGATCTCTGCAGCTCTATTTAAAAGAAACACACACACACACCTACACACACACACACCTACACACAAACTGTCCGTGCCTGATGCACAGAAATGACACCAGTCTCCTTTCATTGGATGCAAAGTGTTATGTAACAAACAAAAGATACAACCACAATTCTGAGTTGTGTAAATAAAAAATGAAGGCAATGATTTGCACATTACATAAACCCATATTTTATTCACGGTTTACCAGATTTGACTTATCAAATAACGTGTTTTTAGGGTCATTTGGAATTTTACGAGTTTTATGTTTAAATGTTTGCACTTCACAGAAACATCTAGTCAATAATTACAAACTGTTAAAGACTCTGATGAGTTTTGGACCAATTACACAACAAAAAGTATTTGTTTTGTGAGTTTATTTCAGAATACTAACTGGAATGAGGGTATTTCTCTGTCAAATCCAAATCGCATTTTGTCAAATTTTAATAAGTTGGAGACAATGCAGGAAAAATATATTTCAACTTGTAAAGTTCCAGTCCGGAAAAATAAAATCCCATGGTTGAATGCCTCTATACATCTCCTAAAGTTGAAAGCTTCTTCAATGAAAACTTATAGGATATCAAAAACGTCTGAAAATCGGTCTCGTTTAAATGCAGTTACTGAAATAAATGTGTTGCTGAATTACGCAAAGCCAAACAACAATATTTTAAAAATTGAATTATTTCAGCCAG